CATATTTTGCCTTTGCTTACTGAGATGTAGATATTTAGCCCATATTGAAACAACGGATGACGAAACTAGTGACTTGCTCAATTCATGTTTGAGAGATCTGTGAAGAACATGGCAGCAGCTGCATTACTGGTATTTAGTATACCAGCAATTGAGGGTGGACAAGTTTACTACCACTTAAGTTCAAATAATTGTGTTAATTACTTATTGTAAAGCATTTGAACATTCTTTTGTCACATTATTAAGTTGATGTATAACTGTATAGTATCTTAATATTTAAAATATGAGGTGACTAAAAATGGCAACCGTATTTTCAGTTTTGGCAACCAAAAGCTGATGCCTGGTTGCCTGGCAACCACTTTTAAAAGTTAGCGTTGAGCCCTGATACTGTATATAGTAAATGTGAGGTAAAGTGTGTCGCCAATGTAACCGGTTAAAACTCCAAGTGGCGATGAGGTCTTAAAATGTATGGAAAGGGTCTTAAAAAGGGTCTTAAAAAGTATTACATTTGACTTCAGGATTCCTGCATATACCCTGTTCTCTGAGTCTTCTCTCCCTCTTCCTCCCCCCAGCCTCTCCGGGCTGCAGGACGGTCAGGGCAGCAACCCGAGCAGCAGCAACAGCAGCCAGGACTCTCTGAACAAAGCGGCCAAGAAGAAAAGCATCAAGTCCTCCATCGGACGCCTCTTTGGGAAGAAGGAGAAGGGCCGACCCAGCATCCCCGGCAAGGACTCCCCCAACCAAGGTCAGACCCCGAACACAGGGCTTTTATTTTACAATACAGCATGGGTTCAAATGTTTTCCAGGCAAAGGCCCCTTTACAAGATACAGAAAGATAGAAGGATTAGAAAGATGTTATATCAAAAATATTTGAACACAGAATGCCTATAAATCATTGCTACTGACATCAATGAATCTATATTAAAGGCAAATCATAGGAAAAGGGTGAATTAATTTCAAACCACACCAAATCAAATGTTTCAATCTTGCATATGTAGGTTAAATAAATTGGGATTCTGATTAATTTAAATAATATAGAATAAGTCACTGATGATTGTGTGTTTTTAAAATGTTCAATAAAAAGATTGTGGGCAAAAAAAAAAAATATATGAAATGTTTTAATTAAAATGTGATCTATAAACTATTTAAAGTTAACAAAATTCAAATATTTGAAAGCAGTTTGTAAAGAAATTGTAATCAATAAATGAAACAAATTCGTAATGAGCCAAAGGCCCTGGTTGAATGCCACAGACCACACTTTGAAAATCACTGCATTACAGCAGGTTCCTCTTTAAATGTTCTTTAGCTCTTCATGCTCACAGCATCTCCGTGTCCCTCTTATGTCTCTGGACATTGTGTTTGTGTTTGCAGCTGGCACTCCTGAGGCGGAGGGCTCTCCTAAGGACGGTTTAGGGATGGGCACCCTGGGGGGTCCTGCAGAGAAGAACAGGAAGCTGCAGAAGAAGTGAGTGTCCTCTTTTGAACAGAGTGAAATAATTGTTCTGTGGTCAACCTTCTACATAATGTAAAATAACACAAAATGTTTTTTCTCCAGCTGTGGACGTGCCTAGCTCTCATATGTGTCTGTCGCTCTGATGACAATTTGTTTCAGTAAAAGGAGAAATTAAGAAAAATGCAGTTTGTAGACTGTATACTTTTGTTTCCTCACTGTCTTTCAGATCGGCAATAAGAAATGAGTTTTACATCAAATGCACGAACGAGACTCTGGTTTCCCCAAGTGCTTTAAAGAGTGATTTAAGTGCCTGTAAAGCTTTTTATTTGTGTTAATATGAAAGGAAAACATATTGACTATAATGTAGTCTGAAGTCTTAAAAGTAAATACAGCAGCTACTTGAAATTGAAAAGGGTTCCTGTTTAATTTTTATTTAATAATTACAATTTGAAGACATATCTGTCGTGGAAATGTTATAACGTGTCCTGGAAACAGGATGCCTATAGAGTGGTGCAGGGATGACGGAGTTTTGTATGCCGACCCTGAAGGCATCATCTCCTGGTTCATGGGATTTCTCCATGTTATTTTAAATTATTGCAGAAGATAATCTGAAACGCTTATGACGCTCGTTCAGCAGGATGATCTCCATATATGAACACCACTTTATGATCTTTTTAAGCAGCTATAAAGGAACTACAGCACGGTCACATGACTTCACGTCACCACCGCTAAGCTAAAGGCGGCTATAAAGGAACTACAGCACGGTCACATGACTTCACGTCACCAGCGCTAAGCTAAAGGAGGCTAATGTTAGGCTATAAAGGAACTACAGCACGGTCACATGACTTCCCGTCACCACCGCTAAGCTAAAGGAGGCTAATGTTAGGCTATAAAGGAACTACAGCACGGTCACATGACTTCAGGTCACCACCGCTAAGCTAACGGAGGCTAATGTTGGACTATAAAGGAACTACAGCACGGTCACATGACTTCCCGTCACCACCGCTAAGCTAAAGGTGGCTAATGTTAGGCTATAAAGGAACCCTAGCATGGTCACATGACTTCACGTCACCACCGCTAAGCTAAAGGAGGCTAATGTTAGGCTATAAAGGAACTACAGCACGGTCACATGACTTCCCGTCACCACCGCTAAGCTAAAGGTGGCTAATGTTAGGCTATAAAGGAACCACAG